GCCTGACCAGCTAAGACCAGGCTGGAAAAGGCTGGAAACCAGCCTGGAAGTGGCCAAAACCCCTCTAAAACCAGGCTGGTCAACCAGCTAAAACCAGCCAACCAGCCTAGGCTGGTTTAAGCTGTTGTTTTTTTTTTCTCAATATGGTTAATAAACTACAAAGGGGGACTTAACATTTTAATGACTACACTTTAGTTTAAGAGTAAAGCAGAGTGTGAAACACTGAAAAGTTCACATAGTCAGGTCTTGAACTACACTGAAGTGAGTACACTATATGTGCAAATGTTGAGCAGTGAACAGTTCCCTAGGACTAGAACTACAACAAAAATGTCAATTTACATGTTTGACAAAATGACAATCACTGTAGCTATTATAGCTTAGCAACAAATAAGAGAATTAATGATTAGTAATTTTTAATTTAGTAGTTAAACTGGCTATTTTTACATTGTGTTTAACTAAAAAAAGGAATAGAACCACAATACATTCCAGTGCTTGATTAACCGAGACAACTGCTGTAGCATTAGCATTTTAGCAACAGACAATTTAAAAATTTAGGACTAAAATAAAGTCTGTAGCTTTCATATTTCATTGAAATAAATAAATCATACCTTAAATAACTGCTATTCACTGTAGCTTAGCATCTAAGCAAGTTAGAGGAATTAGCATTTTAGCAACTGACAGTTTATAATTTTGGAGTAAACCTGGGTAAGTAGCTTTGTCGCATTTGTCCAGACAAATAATACCTCAAACAACTGCTGAAGTCACTTTAGCTTAGCATCTTATGCAAGTTAAGTGAATTAGCATTTTAGCAACTGACAGTTTCAAATTTTGGAGTTAAACAGGCGCTGTAGCTTTGTCACATTGTTCAGTCAAATTATTCATAGGCTACCTTAAACATTAGGACTAGGACTAAAACTAAAAGTTTACATGTTTGACTAATTGACAATTGCCGTAGCCAATGTAGCTTAGCATCTTTAACAAATTAGTTTATGTAAATTAACATTTAATGGTGCCCTACTGAAAAAAAACAGCTTAAGGTTTGAGCTGGTTGGCTAGTTTTACTAGGTAGACCCGCCTGATTTTAGAGGGGTTTCTAGGCTAGTTTCAGATATTTACAGCCCGGTCTTAACTAGTCAGGCTGGGAAATGACCAGCTAATAACCAGCTTGGTTTAAGATGGACACAGATGGTTTTGGCTGGTCTCCCAGCTTGCCTAGGCCCATCAAGCTGGTTTTAGCTGATCTCCCATCCTGACCAGCTAAGACAAGTTTGGAAATGTCTGAAACCAGCCTGGAAATGGCAAAAAAAACATCTAAAACCAGGCTGGTCAACCAGCTAAGGTTGATTTAAACTGTTTTTTTTTTTGTTTTTTTTCTCAACAGGGTGGGTTTTTGTTTAGGGGTAAAACTGGCTATTTGTACACAAAGGAAGTGCAAACATTTCACTAAATAAGGAATAAGACTACCACAAGAATGTGTATTGCTGTGTGAATGTGAATTAGACATTAGCATTTTAGCAACCGCCAGTTTAAAATAACGTTGTAGCATTGTCACATATATCTATTTGTTACATTAAACAAACAAAATGCATGTATCTTACCTATTATTTCCCCAGTTTCATTGTCTCTAATCACAGCTTTATCATAGGCTCCCAAACCACTGGAAATGAAATAACATTTTTTTAGTAAGTGGCAAGTGCATTATTATAAAGGTGTTTATCTATACTGGATGGAAACCTTCAGTGTTCAGTTGGTTCAGACTTAATTAATTTGCTTTTCTTACCCTTTTGGACACTGCAGGTCAGGTCTGTTGCTCAGAAAATCTGGCAGAAATCTGTTGAATTCTGAAACATCAGGCCGCAGTACACCATTTTCAGGTTTGCCCATACACTTCTTGAGACAGACACCGGCTGTCAAAGAACATTAAGTTTTAGATCTCCAAAAGAAAACATTGCATTGTACCATTTCAATAAACGGCAACACCTGAGGTGGACACTGCTCAACATTTTTCACTTACTCTCATTGGCAGGACAAAATTCATCTTTGTTTGGACCAAATGTGTAAAGGCGACAGCATCTGGATCCAGGGTTCAGCCAGTCAATATAGTCATCCACCCAAGAGGATGCTGGGATAGCCAGATAAGATCTAAAAAATCAGAAACATTTAGAAGAAAATCCTGCAAGTAAACCTTAGAATGATAAGGTTCTATCTGACATATTTGTCAAAATTGAGTTATTGACATATTCTTATTAAAGACAGCTTATTTACATTATGGGATGTTTTTTTTATAAGTTCTTTACATTTTAGGACTTTTTTTATTAAAAAAAAAAATATGTCGCACACATACTGTTTGCTATGGAATGAAAAAACTTAGCTCATTATCTGAAAATCGCAGATAGAACCTTATAATTCCATGGTGACGATATTTAAAGCGATACGATTTTGCTTTTGGTTAGTATTGATAGTATCGATATGTTGTCCCTTTTTTGCCCTTTAAATGTCCCTATAAAATAATGGAGGTAATCTCCCTCAGAGTTATTGGAGGTTTAGTTAACAAGGGAAGAAATGTGGAAAAATATCAAATTGGAAACTGTTGTGCTAAATAATTGTTTAATTGCTGTAATTTACCCTCAAGATGTGTTAGCGAACAGTTAAAATTGGCATAACATTTTTGCTTTAATAATAAAAAAAGATTGGAAAAGAGTCTATTCTGATCTTTAAAAAAAGGGCGGCATGGTGGTTCAGTGGTTAGCACTGTCACCTCACAGCAGAAGGTTGCTGGTTCGAGTCCTGGCTAGGTCAGTTGGCATTTCTGTTTGGAGTTTGCATGTACATACGGTATAAGTGAAATGGATGAACTAAAATTGGCTGTAGTGTATGAGTGTGGGGATGTTTTCCAGTACTGGGTTGCGACTGAAAGGGCATCCACTGAGTAAAACATATGCCAAAATCGTTGGCGTTTCATTCCGCTGTGGCGATCCCTGATAATTAGGGACTTTGCAGAAGGAAAAATGAATGAATGAATGATTTTATACTTTTAATGTTGTGGTATCGGAAATGGTATCGAATATAGATATTTTTCAAGGTATCGTATCAAAGATAGAAATTCCAGTATCATGATTGAGATCAGCAAGTTTTTTTTTCCTAAATAAACTTTTACTTTACCCAAAAAAGACCTTAAAATTGCTAATTAAAGTGATAAAAAATTACACTAAAGATTTTTTACATCATTACGAAAGTTTTCTTTTTATCTTTTCTATTAGCTTTACTCCAAAATATGAAGCACTTTTTAAATATATGAACCATAAATTAAAATATGTTTCAGACTGAGATAATAATAACCAAATTAGCATGTAAAATGGAAATATTAAGTCTTATTAATAACATAATTATATTATATAACTATATTATTTATAAATCTTATTTATTTAAAAATATTAATTTATTCATGTGGTGGCAAAAACTGTATTTTCAGCACCCCTTACTTCAGTCTGCAGTGTCACATGATACTTCAGAAATTATTTTAATATGCTAATATGATGATTATTTTGACCAAATATCTTACTTGGTTGGCATTAAACATTAAACTAACTAAAATAAAATATAATTCCTAAACAATTATGCTGGTATCCTAATCTTGTCATTGTGAACTTTTAAGATCCATAACAAATCTGTAAGTTTAAGGTCTGATGTGATTTATTTAAAATCCATAATGCTGTTACATGTATTTTGAAAAGAAATAAAACATGAAAATGCCACAAAAATCGGAATTATATCTGTGCTCACCGCTCAGGATATTCAGTAGCGTAGCGGATCTTCTGGGTCATAGAGAACTGGTCACATCCCACACTGGAACACACTGCATTAATGCCCTCCTCGCTGTTGAAGTTGAACCCTTTGGTCGTGATGAAATACGTGGGCACACCAACCTCAAAATACTTAAACAGGTATGCAAAGTAGTCCAGCATGTAGGAGTCCTGGTTATATTTAAACACAGAGGAAAATACAGAGGAAACACTGTGACTTATTAATGAACAACTGAATGTTTGTTTTTGTTTTGTTGTCTAGTGGCTAGTGTGGAGGAGTGTTCAATAAACCGCTGTACTTACAGTTGGCATGGCCAGTTCCTGATTCAAGCCCACTTTGACATGAAACATGAGGAACACAGAGCTAAAGAACATCACCAGGAACAACACCATCTAAGAGAAGACACAATGACATGTTTTACATGATAAAAGTCTTTATAAGGTAAAAGAGAAATACACATTTTATTAATGGGTGTAATTTTTAGCTATACACTACTTATTTCATGTAAAAAAAATGTATTCAAATGTTTTGTAATGATTTGTAATTTTAAATTATTCTATTTTCATGTTTTTTTTTTTCATTTATTCAAAAACCTTACAGTTTTCAAACATTATTGCAAAGGCCTTGATGGTCTCACTGTAGACTTTTAGGATCAGTATTGCACTTCTACTTATTTCAGATATGTTAATTTGAGGGCATCACGGTGGCGCAGTGGATAGCATGATCGCCTCACAGCAAGAAGGTCGCTGGTTCGAGCCTCGGCTGGTTTAGTTGGCATTTATGTGTGGGTGTTTGCATCTTCTCCCCATGTTTGAGTGGGTTTCCTTGGGGTGCTCTGGTTTCCCCCACAAGTCTAAAGACATGCGGTACAGGTGAATTGGATAAGCTTATTTGTCCCTAGTGTATGTGTATGAATGAGTGTGTATGGATGTTTCCCAGTGATGGGAGGCATTCGCTGCGTAAACCATACGCTGGATAAGTTGGCAGTTCATTCTGCTGTGGCGACCCCAGATTAATAAAGGGACTGAGACGAAAAAGAAAATGAATGAATGAATGTTCATTTGATACATCGCATTAAATCAAAAGCCTTTAATACGTATTTGTTATAACTTATTGAATTTATTCAAATGTAGTTAATTTAAATGTAAAATTTCATTATTTAAATATTAATTAATTCCAATTCAATTAAATTTACCCTCTGAAGTTCTGTTAGTTCAAAGTATTCCATGTTAATTTTAATTAACATCAGATTAATTAAATGATACATTTCTACATAATAAAATATATTCAATTAAATTCAAACAATTAATTAAAAATTTGTACTTATACTATTATTTATTTATGATAATAAAGACATTTAATTTATTTCTAATTTAATTAAATTCAGTGATTTGTAGCAATTTCAGTAAAACAGATGGAATTAAACACAATAACAAATTAACATTATTTACATCTACTCAATTTTAACATTATATCTTTACAAAGGATTTTATGATCAAAAGTGTGCCAAGCAGGCACAGGACGTCAACATGACATCATATTAATGTTGTACCCCAACGTCCTGGAGATGTTGGATTTTGTTTGAGAATGAAAATCAAGTTGACCTCAGAACCCAACCTCAGGCCAATGTCAGTGTCCAATTTCAAACCTAAAATCAACCTAATATCAACCAAATATCAATGTATAATTATGTTACACCTTGATGTTGTGTGGACGTTACCACTATGACATCTATCAGACATTTACGGATTTTGGTCACTTTTCAACACAACCTAAAATCAACCAAATATCAACGTAATTTGACGTTGTTATTAGACGTCAAAATAATGTTGTCCTTAGACTCTGGCTAGACATTGAATTTTGGTAACCTGACATCACGACCTAAATTTAACCTAATATTAACGTCTTATGATGTTGTGTGCCTGCTGGGTTTGTATCTCTCTTTCCCTCTCTCAGTGTGTGCATGTGTATAAGTGTCTGTTAATAGTAAGTTTAATTCTATATCTATTGCAAAATGCTGCTATTAATATTAACTAAAAATAATAAACAGTGTAAATGTATTGTTCATTTTAGCTCATTGCTTGTGTGTTACTTTGCTTATTGACAGAAACTCCATAAAGGCAGTGTGCAGTGAATCTGTGTAAACGCACCACTACTACTCTGCTGAAAGAGTTGAGTAGGAACGGAGCGTAGTATTTCCTCATGAGCGGCAGCAGGATGCCCTCGTTGGGTTTTTGCGGTCGTGGAGTGTCCACTGTCACGCAGCAGGCTATCTCACAGCGGTTTGAGTCCTGACGGCGAGCATCCAGAGAAAGCAGAGCCACAAAGGCAGTCATCTGGAGAACAAAGTCCATCAGCACAGCCAATGCAGCGTACAGAGCGAAAGACTTCACTGCTGGCATGGTGCTCAATGCTCCTGCACACACAATGAGAAGAGATCAGTCAGATGAGTGTGCTTCTTCATGTTGTAGGTGGAAATGATCTGAACTCACTGACTGCATTAATATGATTCAGAGCAGAAGCAGAGCAATTGCTTCTCTAAAACATATCCAAATAACATAATAATGGCAAATAATTTGCCTAATTACCCTAACCTGCCTACTTAACCTAATTAACCTAGTTAAGCATTTAAATGTCACTTTAAGCTGTATAGAAGTGTCTTGAAAAATATCTAGTCAAATAATATTATCTGTCATCATGGCAAAGACAAAATAAATCAGTTCTTAGAGATGAGTTATTAAAACTATTATGTATAGAAATGTGTTGAAGAAATCTTCACTCTGTTAAACAATAATTGGGTAAAAAATAAACAGGGGGGCTAATAATTCGAGGATGCTAATAATTCAAACTTCAACTGTGTATATATATATATATATTGCGCATGCTTAGGAAAAGGTAAAATGTTTTAAAAATAACAATATAATGTATGTATGAACTTTAGTGTCATTAGTTTGAAGTTTTTTTTTCTGTTTAATAGATATTTAAGATTTTAAGCGTAAACTAAAAGGTATATTGTTTGACTCAAGTTTAAATAATTATTGTTAATATTACTTACATATCTGTTGTCTATGCAATGAAGTGCATGTCAATTTTTAGTATTTAGTCAAGTAAAAAAAACATGTATTTTAATGACAAAGTAAGTAATTACAAAAGTAATTTAAATACAATTTGAATGATCCAATAAGTAATTAATTACTTTTTTTTTTGTTTTAAGTTCTTTACCTAGCACTGCTTAATATATGTATATTTTACTAGGAATTACTTGGAAACATAATATCAAAGTAAGAAAAAAGTCCCTGTTTTCCAGTTGCATTACCACTTTTCTGATTGTTTTTGCTGTTAAGTGTAGAAACTTTCTGTTTTATGATTAATCTTATACTCAGATTGACACTTTTATGATAATAAAAAAATATTTTTACCATCATGGAAAATTGTGCAAAGCATTGAGGTCTCTGGGTGATTTAGGTATCTCATTATCTATTTTTTGTTATAATATCCCTTTAACTGCTCCACAAAGAAAAAAGAAATTGGATTGCATTTCTTAACTCCTAATGTTGCTCTTTAACATACTCATTACATTTTTTCACCAGATCCTATCATTTCTAAAATATCAACCTCTACCAAATGGTTAATATGTTGATTTATGGTAAAAGTACTGTAATTAATACATATACTATGAAAAATCTTAAAATATGAAGTGAAAGACCAATTTATTAAAAAAAATATTAAAACTAAAACACTTCTGAATACCAAATCATCTTTATTTTTTGAAGTATGCCATCAAATATTTTAGATTCTGATTTAACGCTCTCATATTTTCCTTTTATAACACAACCAAAATCAAGTGTAGTGATTATATGATAGGTGTAGTGTAGTGATAGGTGTTTATGCTTGTTTGATTATTTTGTAAACCAACAATGCTGTGTAAACCTTTTTTTTTTAAACAGTCATTCTATAAATGACTTTAACAGTCGTTTTTAAAGCAGTCAAAATATAGTCAACCATTTAGTAGAGCAGGCATTTAAAGGGATATTATGAAAACAAATATGCTGAGTCACATGCTTACAGTAAATGTATATAGGTAGTGTATAAACTTCAGTAAAAAACAAAAAACAAAAACAAAATCAGTACTTTATTATTTGAGTAAAACATTTTAAATATGAAATGTCAACTCAGTAAAAATGACTACAAACAATGTTACATTCATATAACTTATTTAAGCAAATTACTTTTTGTATATATTCAAACGAATTCCTTACATGAAATTTACTTAAATGAAGTAAATTGTACTTGTTGTTTCCTTCAGTGTACATTTTTGCCTGTAATTTACATGAATCATATCTGTTTTTATTAAGGGTGGCACTTTTCTAATGCATCATGACATGCGCAAGGGAGTAAAGTTCAGGTAATTAAAACTAAAGTTGCTGCGACCGATACTAGATCTGTGACACCTGCTTCGTATATGATTCTGGAAACACTTTGCTCAAAGAGGATGACCATAAGACTGACACAACACCTTCATAATCATGGTGTGATATGTCATTTAGTGTCATTAGCTCAGTTATGTCATTATGTCAAGATGACATTGCTTGAGGTGTTTTTGTTTTGACAACTGGACATAAACAAATACATTATAAACTATCAGTGCCTTTGTCATAACAGCTTGACATTACCAAAACAATTTAAATTGTCATAAACCTGTCATAAACATGATATGACATATTCATTATAGAATTTAAGAAACTACTTAACTTTACGTTATTGTAACTACATAACTTTTTTATGTTATTATAAACTGTCATGTGGTTGGTCACTGTCATGATGCCATTTTATTTTACTTGTATAAATATAATATTATTTGATGAATAACACAGCATTATCTCAGAATGATTGTGGATTGAATAGATTTTTTCCAGAAAAGGTGAGATATGGGTTTAAATGTGAACTGTTCTGATCCTATGTGTGAATATGCTACATGGTTATGTCCACATTTGCGCAGGTAAATAGCTTACATCTGCATTATGTAAATATGAAAATGTTAAGAGTAAATATTATTGCTAAATCCTTCCCTTCATATTGACACCTGGACAGTACTTTACTCAATAGGAGCATTCCAAAACAAAGTCAAAGAGCAGTAATTGATGCTACGGTGTTCAGCTTTGGTTTCTCTTTTAGCAACCTGGCCTTTAATAAGACAACCCATTTTTTTCTATAATAAACTGACTAAAGTTTTTTTGGGGTAAAAAGGTTTTATGTTCGATCAACTGATATGTGAGGACAATAAAGCCTACTCTACACAATAAACCCACTGTTTGTTGAAAACCCACTTATTTTAAACTTTTTTAAATACATTTTTATTTTAATTTATTTTTAAATTTAATAAATTCTGATGCAACCTGCTGTCTGATAAAAAAGAAAAAGTGTTTTATGGGTTGAAGTATAGTTTTAGATGAGTAGGAGATTCTCACCCAGGAAGAAACAAACAGATTCAGACAAACTGCAGAGCAGCATGCTGGGAGCCACGTTTCCGAGAACTCTGCCGATCTGTTCCTCCCGCTGCTCTCCTGGTCTGCGCAGGTCTCTCTGATCAAGAAGAAGAACAGGACAGACAGAAAGAAAGTATGGTTTATGAAGAAGAGTCATAAGTAGCAAGGTTCTAGAAATATTTATTTTTTTATTTTTGACATTTTAGGTATTTTATTATTATGATTTATTTATTTTATTACAGCCTTTAAATAAACTTTTTATTTCAAATACTTCATTGTTAAACTGAATAAAATGCATGATCTTAATTAACAGGATGTACTTTTTCTTTTTAAGCTAACACTTATTTTAACTATTAAAACTGTTTGCAGAACGAAATCTTAAATAGAAAAATATATCCAAGCAATCAAAGGATTTTGAATCAAAATCTGATTTTTTATTTCTGTTTTTTTGAAGTTGCCAAGATTTGTTTTATACTCAACAACACTGCAGTATTAGGTCACAATACAGAGCTGTGTTGTAGTAATATTTTGAAATATACAGATCAAAAATGACCCATTTGTAGGGCCAGACGGAATCTGCGGACGTTTTTGCTATTTCTGCTGAGAATTTTGGTAACAATTTGCAGATTTCTGTGGAATGATTTTGGGAGTATCATAACTAAAACCTTATGTGAAATAAAAAATTATATCTTTTTAACTTGTATTTAATACTTAAAATGCAAATCCAATTAGACAAAATCTAACAAAAGACAGAAAATATTACTGTACAAACTGTATTGTACATAAATCCGATTAACATTTTCATATTAGTCAATAATATTACTGAAGTTAATTTAAAAACTGAATAAATATAAATTTACACACATTTACTTAAGTAAATAAACAGAATTAATGATGGGCTAAAAGTCTGCGGAAAATCTGCATAATTCTCCGTGTGCAGAATCCATGTGGGCCTACCCATAAGGTTATACATTCCCTGTAAACCATTTGACTACTGTAAAAGAATAACCTACAACACTGAAGAAAATCGTAATGAAAAGAGCAATAACCCAACATACCTGATACTCCAGGACAAAAATGAAGATGTTGTCAGCTCCCACGGCCAGTACAAGGAAGGGCACCACCTGCAGAATGACCAGCGAGGACGCCACACCAATCCAAGCATAGAAACCCATTGAGGCTATGACAGAGCAGCCGACTACCAGAATCCCACCCAGGCCTACCAGGAATTTCGAGTCTACCTGCAAAAAAAATAAAAATAAACAATCATGGTGTGTAAAAGCAGCATTAATACACATTTATTAAGCAAACAAGACCAGCAGTACACAGGGTTTTGAAAAAAAAAAACATCAGGGACACAAAGTACGACATGATGTTATCTAAAAGTACTTTAACTGATTTATAATCGTTTATTGTGTTAATTGTGGAATATATGTGTGGAATACAGGAATTTCTTATAATATATATATATATATTTTTTTTCTTTAGAAAGTTAAATTTTTTAATTATTTTTTTCTGCAATAAAATGCATTTTTAATAATAATAATAATAATAATAATAGTAAAAAAAAAACATAACTTTCAACAACAAGAACAAAAAAAAAAAAAAAAAAAGAGATTAGATCAATATTATTAGCCCCCTTAAGAATTAATTTTCCCTGATTGGCCACAGAACAAACCACTGTTGTCTGATAACCTATAATTTACCTTACTAACCTAGCAAGACAAGTTTAATTAGTTATTAAAAAACAGTTGTTAAATGTTGTTATGTTTAAACATGCGTTTCCGCTAATCAGTACTCTATTAACATTAACTTTAAATAAATAAAAATAATTTCTTTGGTCAAGCTTGCAATTATTCATTCTCCTGGCTTATTATGATTAAAAGTTGTTGTTTAAATGTAAATAAAAGCTGAGAAATATATTTTTTCCACAATAATGCTTCGTGTACATCGTCTTATTATCTTTTGGGAAAAGCCTGTGTCATTTCCTGTCAAAAAAAAAAAACTTAGGCTGGTGGAATAAAAGTAACTTTTAAGTAAGAATTCGTCATGGATATGAGCAATTTCGGACTTGACTGTATATAAAACAAATACTACACTACACAAATATAGAATAAATACTAAAATACATCTATAATTATTTAATACACAGAATATCAAGAATGCACTTCAATCAAGACATGCTGAAGTTTCCATTGGGCCTTTATGTTGAGAAAAGGATTGCTACTATTATTCTCTTATCGGAAATGAGGAAATTCCCAGTAAGTCATTAACCACATCGTTACTCACCAGGATACGCTTGCAGGATGAATATTCCCCAAGAGCCACTGCGATGTAGAGGAAGATGACAGCATAGCTTATCATGAATATGGGGATATCCTCCGCTGTCGTTCTGTTAATCTCATCTTCCAAAGACCTCTGAAAATCACCACACAGTTTCATTATGAAACAGATAAATGTCTCCGACTGACATCCGCTTGTTAAATATGGCCTCACTCGTAAAAATGCTTTTTCTGATGGCAAAAGTGAATAATTATTATTACATATACTCAACCTGGTTTCAGACCTTTATGAGTTTATTCTTTAAGAACATTGGCAAATGTTGCCATTGACATCCACAGTAAGAAAAAAACATACTATAGAAGTTAAAGGTTACTGGTTTCCAACATTTTTTGAGATTTGTGTTCAACAGAAGACAGACACTCAAACAGGTTTGGATGAGTAAAATATGACAGAATTTTCATTTTGTGGGGGATGAACTATCCCATTAATAAAATGAATACATCATGGAAAAATGGAAATACCTCATAATTTACTCAACTTTTACATGCCTTTTTTCTGTCAGATGAACACATACTGGAAAAAAATGTTTTCTGCAAAATTGTTGTAAGCAATTCATGTGTTGATTTTAAACAAACAAATTGAATCTAGCAATGTTAAACTTAATTTGTTTGTTCAAATTCACCGCAAATGAATTGTTTACAACCACTTAACTAAAAAAAAAAATTGTAAATCATCTTTAAACCTTTTATTTTTTTTTCAGTGCAGTCAGAGTAGTTTAAAATTTTCTCCTGGCTCTTAATATGTCTTATTTTCTTTCAATGTGTTTTTGGAAGAATAAAATATTAAATAACTTGAGGGTGAGCAAATGATGAGGATTTTTTTAATTTTTGGTTAGACTATTCTAAGATCCATTTGAATGAAGATTCATATTAATGACTCTGAGTTGACTTTTTGCAGTTGTTGTTGTTGTTGTTGTTTTGAGAGTCAATTTTATATACAGTGAATTTTCTGATTTAAACCTCAGGTGAATGTTTTCATTTACTTAGAGCAGGGGTTCTCAACCTTTTTCACTTCGAGGCCTACCTTTTTCTCTAAAAAAGCCCAAACTGATTGTTTAGAGAAAATGTTTCACAGTTGAAATCAGAATTATTAGCCCCCCTTTTATTTATTTATTTATTTATTTTTAAATATTTCCCAAATGATGTTTAACAGAGCAAGCAAATTTTAACAATATGTCTGATATTATTTTTTGTCTTCTGGAAAAAGGCTTACTTGTTTAATTTCGACTAGAATAAAAGTAGTTTTTAATTTTTTATAGCCATTTTAAGGACAATATTATTAGCTTCTTTAAGCAATTCTTTCCCCCGATAGGCTACTGAACAAACCATCGTTATACAATCACTTGCCTAATTACCCTAACCAGCCTAATTAACCTAGTTAATTCTTTAAATGTCACTTTAAGCTGTATAAAAGTGTCTTGAAAAACATCTAGTGACATATTATTTACTGTCATCATGGCAAAGACAAAAGAAATCAGTTATTAGAAAAGAATTATTAAAACTATTATGTTTAGAAATGTGTTAAAAAAAATCTTCTCCCTGTTAAACAGCAATTCTGAATTCAACTGTATATGATATAAAATACAATAATATATATTTTATTTTTTAATGCAGGTTTCTCAGGTTCAAAGCTCCTGAAATATTTACTTTAGCTATTCTTTACAACTACTGACAGGAACCTGAACCAGACAGGACTACAGGAGATGGCAAAAAACTGCTGCAGCTTTGAATTAGACTGACTTCTATTGATCTATTGATCTATATCCCTCAAAATAAACAACCTAAACCTAACCCTAAATGTAAAATAGAGTAAACCCTCTAAATCTGTTGAAGCACATCAATCTGAAGGTGGATGGTTTTGTAGCTGAACATTATTGCTGGAAAAATGAACAGGTGTTCACTACTGAAACACCATCGAGTCTCACTCCTTCTGTACGGACGTGCGTCAGTTATAAAACGCTCGCAGGATGTTAATTTGGACAACTATGCGGATATTTTATATTTTATCACACAGGGAGAACATGCATAGTTTGTGAATCGAAGGACTTGTTCAACTCTTATACAGTATGAGTGGCAAATGTGAGGCACTTGTGAGCTGGTTATTATAACCCTAATCATCGTTACCTTTACATTTGCGAGGCGGTTTAGTTTATTTAACTTAGAATGTAGTCCTAGTTGACGTGCAGCGGCTGGAAATTTAAGCCACAGTTATGTCTGTACTTAACAGTGAGCCTGTTTTTGGACAGAGTTTATATTTGCCTGTTCAACCACAGAAAACGAGAAATTCCATTATTATAGTCTTAATATAAAATAATTAAGATTGAAATAAAATAATAATAGTATAATATTTAAGTTAATTTTAAGCTATCTTGTGGTCCACTAGTGCGTTGAGAATCCCTGACTTAGAGCCATGTTAGGCTGGACATTTAAGCTTTGTCATGCATCATTTGTTGTTCTGCGTTTTTGCAGTATACAAGTGGAATGAAGAGGTGATTAACCTCTCACAATCTGCAATCCGATTATTTTTTTTGACAATTTAAAAATTTTGGTTGGCTCAGTTGAATTAGAACTACAGACCGACTGAAATGAACTCAGGGTTCATTGGGGATTGCTTGTGCTATATTTTTTAATATATTCCAGAATGCACAGGAACATTTAAAAGCATAAGATATTCTGTTCATATTCACCTTTCCACCTTGTTCCTTTCCACCTGAGTTTAACACTACTACCCATTAGATGGCATAAATACATCACATACGGGTTTTCCAACAACCATTAAACAAAAAAACAATAGATAGGGGTGTTACGTGTTGATTTCATACACACAATGTGAGCAGTCAAGCTGCTGCTGAGCAATTATATTGTATAATGTGTGTACATGAATCTTGAGCTTTGGCTTAACATTGCTTGCGATCTTCTTAAGTGTATGCCCGGCTTTACTGTGTTACTGCATGAATGGTATTTTTCAAAAACGCCATAATACGGGCACTTTACATTACATCATTAGTTCAACCTGTGATATAGACTCACCTCAGCCATGTAAGCAAATGTGAAGTTTGTTGTAGAGTTTTTCTGATACTCCTGGACGATTTTAAGAAACCGGTTTTCCCACTCTTCAACCACCTTAAATTTAACGTCTGTTCTTGCATAATTGTTGAGGGAAAAAGTGAGGATCAGGGCCTCAGCAGTGGTGTATTGTTCATCTGAAAATATAAAAGCCAAAGTCAGATCTGTGAGGGTTTAAAAGCAATGTACAGATGCCAACGGACAGTTTTGTTTCTTACTATCATATCCTCCGACAGCCAGGAAGGGGAACACAGGGCCTCCATAGTCAGACATACAGCTCATGCCGAGAGCTGTGATGTCTTTAAATGATAGTGGAGAGCTGTGGCAAGCAGAATATAGTTATGAAATTAGGGTTTTAGAAGACAATTCAGGAAACAAAGGTATTGTATGAATGAAACTAGCAATATGGCTGAGTGAATAATTCAACGACTCTGTCCTAAAAACAGTTAGAAGCATGCTACAGTATACAGGAGCCAGTGAGTAGTTTAATCTAAACGTGCATAGCAGACAAAACCAGTATGTAACAATTAAATCACGACATCTTCACAGACAGTAAATGAAAAAAGAGACCCCTTTAGTAATTATTAGGGTTTTTTATACTGTCTTCTATGCATTTAAAATCAAGTGCTTTCTACAAGTGTGCCTAGAACAAAAGGTTTATTTGAGTTTAATTCAGTTCAATCAAATTACTTAAATATCAATTTTCACAATAATTATCATTTCAAAGCAGCTTTACAAAAGATGAAGATCAAATAACAGTCAAAATCTGAAAAGTTAAAGGTTCAGGAAACCCTTGAGTACTTTTTTAACAGATGTGTGTTGAGCATCAGTTAAGACAATGTTAGCACCTGTTTAATTGTGGGGAAAACTGGATAATTTTGAGCTCTTGTCGGCTAATTTCATCTTCTGGGTTTAAAATCATTTATGGGGTGGGATCAAAATCGGTGACGTAGCGCCGATCTGCCTGTCTAGTGATGACGTGTCAGTTTCTCATTATTATTCATAGCTGAGTTTTCTAATCCTAAGAGAAGACCCTGCTTCTTAATTATTCATGAGAGCACGTGCTTTCCAAAGGCAAGGTAGACCTGCCAAGCTGTTAGACCATGTCAGCGCATGGCGCACAGTATTTAGCCATTCATGAAGGGTTGTATGTGTTTGTTTCCATGATAAACCTGGTTTGTTGCATGTTTTCCCTGTGATGCTGTCAGGGCCGATACAGAAAAGCTGTTGGTTTGCAGCAAGCATTTCTGGAGAGCTGTATGAGAATTGGAAAATTTTATCAGTTGAATTTCTTACCATTCAGACACATCGCCTATATCCGTGCTGCTATGTTCGCCTATGTTTAAAATCATAGAGAGTAGCAGGGCTAATGGTTGAAATAGACAAGGCAGGAGACCTGCTACACTGCTGTCACTGTGTCTACAGTCAGTCCCGGGGATTCAGGAGGAGAGAAGTCCTCCTCATTTATAGTGTTTGTATAAAGATGATTATCTTTACAATGACTTAACAAATTGTGGTTATGTGTATATGAAATTACGAATAACATAAGTAGCAGGGGCATTACATTGCTTACTGTTTATTTCTTTGCATTTTAACTTTGTAAACCATAAAATCATGGGTCCCCCCAACAGTTTGTGTCTCATTTTGTGAGCCGACTGACAATTGCTCACTCCCTTCTTTTTCCTCAGCTCGAAGCCCATCATGAAGCATATTTTGAAAAATTTCTGAGGTAGACTTCTACTGAAAGAGGGAGGTTCACGGCCCTTTAAGGAGTTGTGCATAGGGTGGGCGATATATAAACATAGTTAACCGGCAGTTATACAATATAATGTGTCCTTTTAAAAAGATGAGGTCAACAGTATGTGTATAATATATGTTAAATGAAGTGTACTTGCATATTAAGTGTTTGTTATCCTCAAAGTTTAATATACAGTTCAATATACCAACCATGTCTATTTATGAGCAAATGATTCAAATGAATGCACTGCACAAAATGCTTTTCTTGCTTAGATTTTTTGTCTTGTTTCTAGTCTAAATATCTAAAATTTCTTATATCAAGAAGAATTTTCTAGACAAGCAAAACATATTGTCTTGTTTTGAGAAATAATATGCCAATAATAAGTGAGTTTTTCCTTAAAACAAGCAAAATAATCTGCCAATGGGGTAAGCAAAACAATCTTGTTTTTTCTTTTGACGTAAGATTATTTTGCTTACCCCATTGGCAGATTATTTTGTTTGTTTTAAGTAAAAACTTACTTCATTTTGGCATATTATTGCTGAAAAGAAGACAATATGTTTTGCTTGTCTAGAAAATTCTTATTGATTTAAGAATTGTGAGATATTTGGACTAGAAACAAGACAAAAAATCTAAGTAAGAAAAGCATTTTTTGCAGTGTGGCTCACTCAAAGAGTTGCAGTACTTAATACAAAATACTGGTATAACAATTAATCCCTTTGAGGCAATTAATTCAGACTTTATTGTGCGCTTAGGCACAATATATGATAGAATATATGATACATGCAAACATGAAATGGTGATACAAACAAAAAAGTTGAAAAATGCTCAGAAAGTAATGCAGTAAATATAACTACAGACATAAATCTACCTGACTTACTTAACACAGTAGATGAAATGATCCCGCCAGTCCACTTCCTTAGTCACACCAAGCTCTGTCATGTTCACTTTGGCATTCAGGTTGTCGATGCTATTTTGGAAGTACTGCGGCAGACTGTTGACAGCGCAGTCGGTTAACGAGGGGTTGCCTGGGTTGAGTGGCGCATAGCAAACATCCTTAAGGCTGGCGGTACTGTTTAGTTCATCTGACCAGAACTCAATTGCTTGGATGCTCTGCTGAAGCTTTAACAGCTCTATGATCAAATCTGCAAGGTAGAAACATGCACAATATATTTAAAATGACTGAAATCTTATATTTAGGTAGACAGAAAACAATCTTAAACGCAAAATTTTAAGAAAAGGATAAACTGACATTGGAACAGTTTGAATTGTGATTGTTTATGTTAATAAAAAGGGCTGCTATTAAAACAACCAGTGATTCTGATTTATAATCTAAAATGACGGAAGCTACACTTAACAATTTACATGTTCCTGGTTATGAGAGCACTGTGACACTGCAAAACTTAAGTTTGAGCATTTTTAAGTGGGTTATTTTCTGTGTCAGTTACTAAATTAGACTGACAATTGAATTCATGAACTCAATAAACAATCACATAAGCCATTTGCTATTGGCTTAAAATTGTCAATTTTGTTTTGTTGTTTTATTATCTAGGTGTTTTCTGATCACAATTAATGCTTCAGATTGTTTAAGCTTGCTGTGAAGTATTATTTCAGAATGCAGGGTACAGAACATGTAATGAAATGATGTCAAACTCCAGATGATTCTTGTGAGCGTCTGTGTTTTTTGCGTTCTGATTGTCATTCAGTCTGACATTCCTACTACTACTGATATGTTACAGTTTGACTTGGGGATCATTGTTATAAGTCTGACATGCTACTTCTATAAAGGATTAGTAAAAGTCGCACAATGTGGGCTAGACTTTAAACATTCCTAGTTGAAACCCTTTCTTTATGTTGACTACAATCTTGCATTCATTGCCTCAACTCCATCTACAACCAAGTTCCTACACAACATAATCCAATATTCTAAGCTATAGAAAACAAATTGGTTAATCGTTGCATTGTGATTCTTTCTCAAGCAATTTTGAATTGATTCTCAAAAGGTACTCAAATTGATCGCAATCAGTGTTGGAGAAAGTCACTTTGAAAGTAAAGCATTACTTGTTACTTTTTATATTGAGTTACTCCCCAAAAAAGTAACTTACTTTTTATGTTACACTGTAAAAAAAAAAATCTGTAATTTTCCGGTTTATTTCTGGCAGCTGGAGTGCCCGAAAAAAAAAGTAAAATAACAGCCATTCAATTACAGAAATATACTGTAAAATAACGAATATTAAATTACAGAAATTTCCTTGAATTTTAATTTCTGGTAAATTTCTGTAATTTAATAGCCGTTATTTTATTTTATTTATTCCAGCACCCAAGCTGCCATAAATAAACCGTAAAATTACAGTTTTTTTTTCAGTGTAAGTAATGCGTTACGGTACTTTTTAGTTACTTTTTTTCCATTGCTTTTTTTAAATAGAGGGGTTCTGCGATTACCAATGCACTGTTTTACCTTCACCTACATTTATCTAAGAAAACAATATATATATATATTAGGATAATTTATCTGAGAACTTCCAGACCCCAGAGCTCTGCATGCGGTATATACAGATTGAAAGTTTAAAGCAATGTGTTTGCTACTTTTATACTATTTGACTTAAGTAAAATCACTGTCCATTAAGTCAATCCCCTTTTCCTTGTTTTGATGCTTTCAAATTAATGAACACATTACCTCATTGACTGCATGATTATTTGTGACTACTTTCATTTTTTAAAGCTAATTAATTAAACTAAAAAGTCACGTTTCATTTAAAAAAAAAAAAAAACTCAAATATTATTACTAATTTTTTTTTAATAAGTGTGCTATTTCACTCGTTACTTAGAAAAGTAATATTACGTAACTTGTGTTACTTGTAATGCATTACACCCAACACTGATTGGAATGGTGTAATACTCTCTTTATGGAATAAGAACTGTTTGTTCTTTATGATTGCTTTTTTTAATCTGGCATTTTGATGTTACATTCAGAGCTTGTTCAAGCTGAATATAACTTTGTTAATAAACTCAACAAATTATGCCAAATCTAGCACCACTGTCATTCCAATCAAGAACAAAAGCATAGAAACTCCAATTCCGGTTACGTTGGAAAGACGTATTTTGCACAGCTAAGGAAATAGGAAAAAGAAGTCAACAACTGTTTTGGAACCAAATCATGACTCCCAGAATCGTAATCGTAAGTCCCTAAAGATTCCCACCCTACTAAGCTGAATGTCATATGTTATATAATGAAAAAAAAAAAAAATCTGTTGCAACTTCCATTTCATTAAGACATGCAATTAGCTACACCCCAAACCAAACATACATCTGAAATGTAGATTACCTGACAATTACAGAGAATCATAGTATATTGATTGGGGATGAGAGACAGTGGCCCTTCTGGACAAGAGTTTTCTACCAATTAGGTCATTATTTGAATCACAATTATTATTATTTGTACTAATAGTGTAGCTGTAGCACTGATTATTTTCACCACCGAGTAAATAAAAATCACCTTTGGAGATGATGCCACTGAAGTTCTGCTTGCCAAAGAGTAAGGAGTCATAGAAGTGGCTGGGCCGGCCTGGAGCCGTCAAGATCAGCTGATTGGTGCGGTAAAACGGATCGAAATGAGCATCGTGGAAGGCCTTCTCCCGCATGGCGCGACTTTCAGGTGCTGACCAGAGCTGGACGGGATCTGTGGTCAGTTCTATGTCCTTTATTCCCACCGCAAACACCAGCACAATCACAAGGCAGACCGGAAGCACTATGTAGGGATACCGTGCCATTAAGGTCCCCCAGGACTGGAAAAGAGACCCTAGGAATTCCTGAGTGGCAAGACTGGCTTTGTCAGAGCACGAAACATCTTTAGGGCTGATTTTAAATTTGATCTCATTTGCGTTTTGATCCTTGGTGCTCTTACCCTTCCGACCCTTCCTCGACTTCATGTAGTAAGTCGTGCACTCGGTAATCACGTAACACAGGAAAAGAAAAAGGAAGCAAGAGAAGACTGTGAGGCAGATGACAAGCACCCCATTAAGGTTACCAATCATGAAGGGTTTCGGCAGAGGCGGTGGTTCTGGCACCACCGGACAAGATTGTAGGCAGTCCTGACAGGAACAGGCCTCGCCACCGGAAGGTGTGACTTCATTGCATTTTAACGCTTGTCCTGCAAACGCAAATGCTCCTGCTGGGACTTCAGAGGTCTCGCTGTCTTGTAAAAGCTTGAAGTCAATATCCAGCGGAGCCAATCCATTGCTGGAGTCGCCCTGAAAATCATACCAGCGCTGTGGCGTACAGAGTGCTGCACCATAACGGCCGCACATTGTGGCAATGGCAAACCCTCCGGTGGATGGAATTCGTACATTTTTGCAGGAGTCAAACGAGGCATCAGAGAAGTTAGTGGATATATACGCTGCGTAACCCACCACGGCTTCTTTTACAATGCCTGTGGGTTGAGTGATGTTGGCCGTTTTGGTGATCTTCAATATCTGACTTTGGTCAGGACTGCAGGTCGTGGCGCAATGGAGATACGCAAAGTTCTCGGCACAGGACGGGCAGCGGATCAGAACGGCTTTGGAGAGCGACAGGCTGTTTTGCAGAGCTGTGAGTTGCCTGATGGAGCAGCAGGCCAATGTTTGGCCATCGCCATTGGCCAGCATTGGACATACAGATTTCAGAAGCTCATAGTGGTCTCCTGTCACATTCACTGCTCTTCTGTAGTCCTTACAGGGAACTCTTGGGGGGATAAGAGCCCCTTCCACTGCGGGATTTAACCCACAGTCCTCATACATTGCGCAGAAGCCTGGTTCATGCTGAGCACCTGTGAGAACCTGCAATAGATGAGAGATAGAAGATAAATAAAGATAACACAATCTGTCGTTTAGTCAAGTGTCTTATACCGTATCTCTGACTCTTTATCACTCAAAATGAACAATAAATTGGACAGCATTAAAACCACATAAGTTTCTCTTGCTACCAAAATTTACACATTTCAAATGCTAAAAAATATTGTTTTTAAGTTTCATAGACATTTAATTTATCAAAAAACCAAGTGTTTTTTTTTCTTCTCATGCTTCCTATGTAATTGAACAGATGTTATTCATTCAGTCATTTTCTTTTCGGCTAATCCCTTTATTTATCCAGGGTCACCACAGCGGAATGAACCGCCAACTTATCCAGCACATGTTTTACGCAGCATATGCCCTTCCATCTCTGGGAAACATCTATGTACACTCCTTTACACTCACACACTATGGACAATTTAGCCTATCCAATTCACCTATACAGCATCTCTTTGGACTGTGGGGGAAACTGGAGCACCCGGAGGAAACCCACGTGAATGCAGGGAGAACATGCAAACTCCACGCAAAAATGCCAACTGACCCAGCCGAGGCTCGAACCACAATCTTCTTGCTGTGAGGCGACAGCACTACCTACTGCGCCACTGCGTCGCCCACAGATTTTATAGCAAGTTGTAACAAGTAATTGTTTTGTATTTAAAATGTAATTTATTTGGCGGCATGGTGGCTCTGTGGTTAGCACTAACAGCAAGAAGGTCGCTGATTCGAGCCCCGGCTGGGTCAGTTGGCATTTCTGTGTGGAGTTCTGTGTGCATGTTCTTTCCATGTTCGCTTGGGTTTCCTCCAGGTGCTCCGGATTCCCCCACAGTCCAAAGACACGTTATGTGAATTGGGTAGACAAAATTGTTCGTACTATAATGTGTGTGAATGTGAGAGTGTATGGGTGTTTCCCAGTACTGGGTTGGAAGTGGAAGGGCATCCGCTGCATAAAACATGCTAAAACAGGGGCGACTCCTGATAAATAAGCCAAAGGAAAATTAATAAATGAATGTTATTTATTTTCTTTGATACCACAATATTCCAGGATCTTTCCTGCAGTCTTCATTGTCATATGATCCTTCAGAAATCACTGATCTACAGCTGAAGAAACATTTCTTGTTATTAACATAAGTTGAATATATTTAAATATATGAAAACAGTTTAATATGGTTGTGGAAATGACGGCACATCATCTTCCTAAGAAAAAGAACAGCTACTATTTGAAAAATATTTTGGAATAAACTATTCATTTGAATTATTTTAAATGCTATTTTAAAACAGACTTTTTTTTTTTTTAATTCCAGAAGTCTTCAGTGTTTTGACAAGTTTAATGCATTCTTTCTTGATTAAAATATCACTTTCTGCCCCCAAACTTTTAAACAGATATGTAAAAAGTAATTTTTAGAAAACATTTTCTCAACAACTCGAAACAGAAGTAATTTACTCTCCAGCTTACACATTCCGCAGTGAGAGAAAAGTGAACCAATGTTGGAATTTGTGTTTCACGTTTAGAAAATTAGATCTACAAACAAACTGGTAAAACAGAACAATGATCAATTCATGTATTTACTAACATTAGCAACAGTAAATAATTTTGCAAAGCATTTAATAATGATAGTTTAACATTTTCTAATGCATTATTCAAATCCAAAGCTGTGCTTGTTAACACAATGCACTGTGAGTTAACATGAACTAAAGTTATTTAACTTAATATATATATATATATATATATATATATAATAACTATCATTAACAAAGATGATAAAACCATAATAAATGTATCACATATTGTTTCTTCATGTCATTCAACATTAACTAATGGACCATTATTTTAAAATGTTACCAAAAAATCTACTCACACAAAAATGACAAATACACAGTAACATAAAATAAGATAAATTAATAAACATTAAGAAAAAGATTTTATTTTCTTGCTGATGACTCAACCAATCATTCTGTTACAATTAATAAAATCCAGGAAAAAATTACAGCTCCAGATGGCGATATCACTGGAAAAAAAAGTGTATTTTAACTATATTAACTTTTATTTTGTTTAATTTTTTAAGTGATACAAAGTTTAAACCACTAGAAAAAGACCATATGAAAGTGTGATATGTATTCATATACATTTTATAGACAATTAATTAATCACAACAAGCTGAAGCTATTTTAAGGTTCAAAATCCATACATAGTTCAATATCTCATTACTGTGAAATATTTAACATTTACATTTGAATCAATTTCCCATTAGGGAAAGCGAAACAAGTGCTCTAACAATTTTTGTTTCAGCTCGTATATAAATATAAATTACACTTAAAACTTAAAAAAAAAAAATGAACAATGTCCAAAACTCCTCCCTTTCTATTTTAACATATAACAGCCTCATTTGCCTCACTTTATAGGATGATTCTCATGGTCACTCAAAGAATATTTAAATAAAGTCAAGTGAATCCTTACCAAACAAGCAGCAAGTGAAATCAAAGTAATGGACCACGCAGAGTTCTTCCTTTGGAAATGCATTTTTGTTGCCTTCAGTGTGTGTGGAGTGTTATTATTCCCAGAGGACAGACAGACGCGGGGAGCTTCAAGTGGATCCCTGCTCTTTCTCTGCCTGTGCTCGCACTGTACAGAGCCGTAGGAGGAAATGAAAGACTTTCTCTCTCATTGGATGAATATTAGTGATACTGATGATGGCCAAACTCTTATCTGGCCTGATGTTTCTACCACCAACCAGAATGGACAAAAGCCAATCCAGCTCACTGATCATTAACCAGATGGGCAGACTAAACCAAAGGTGTGTTATTGAAGTGAAAGGACAAAAACACACCCACCAAAACTTGATGACTCTCATTAATAAAATGCATGCAAAAATATGCAAAACAACTTTTTCTTTCTTTTTTTATTTATTTATTTTTTTTTGTGGGAAGAGTGTGACATTATACAATAAATATAAATGTAGATTTTTTTTGTACATATTTTGTACCTTTCGTTACACTTGCTATATATAAGTATTTTTATTATATCTAATGATTTAAATGAGCTTTTTCTTATTTTTTTTTAAAGATAATCAATGAAAATGTTTGGAGGAGATTTGATCGGAGCTTAAAAACAGGTAAGATTTATGACGCAGATCTGATGAAGCTTGTGGATCTTGTTGTTTGGCAATGAAATCAAGAGGAAAAAATTGTTGCTTGTGCAAAATCAAAATATAAATTAAACGATTTGAGGTCAAAAAGATTTTTAATGGGAAAAAAAGGGTTTTATCTGTACCATAAATCGTTATTTGATCAAAACACACTACATTTTTATATTTTACTGTGAAATGTTATTATAATTGAAAAACATATTTATTTGACTCTTCAGTATCACATGATTCTTCAGAAATAAATATGGCATGCTGGTTTAATGCTTAAACTAAATGCTTAATTACTATTCGATCAAAACAGAAATAATTATTGACTCTCAATTTTTAGCATCTGTTCATTTGATCCGTTTACACTAAAATGTATGGTATTTATTTATTTTATCACTTCAAACAATTGAACAGTAGTGTATACACACAAAAAATTCATACACACCGTATAATTTTTTCCCCCCAATGTGTTAGACATCTCATTCCATGGAAGCCTGTTCTCACCTCTGAATGCAAAATAAAAAAGGTATTGTGACTTTTTATCCCAGAGTTTCTACAAACTCAAAATTCTGCCTTTTTTAAATTCACAAAGTCTTTTAAGTCATAAATCTGAGATAAAAAGTCTCAATAGTTTTTTTTACATTTTTTATTCAGGGGTGGGAACGGGTTTCTGGAGATTCAGTATGTAGAGTGATAGAGTTGTAAAAGATATCAAAGGGCAGCAAATACAAAATCTGCTTGCATGACTATTACACTTGTGTAAAAAAAAGAACAACTTGTGTGGCTTTACCTCAATTGTCAGTGACATACACATTTGATAAAGAAATAAATTAAAATATAAAAAGTGCAGTCTATTGTACGTACAAATTCCTGTCAGTCATTTTAACATAATAAATTTAATAGATTAAATTTTTTTTTACAGATATCAGCAATAACGAGAATAGGCATTGCATGTGTTATGAATGCGCCACAAAGATTTGTATTAATTTATTTATTTCAGAGTAATATCCAAGTCCCTTGAACCAATACCAGATAGGACAAAGGTTTACACGGTTGTCCTTCAGGTAAAGTAATCAGATAAGTTTCAGATTGTGGATAAGATTAAACATGCGACTTGATAAACTGATACTGAACATGCAAATTCAACTTGCCAGTGCATTTGGAAGCAATTAAAGACATAGTTCAACCAAAACATTTGAGCAAATGCATTTGCATTCTTGCGCAGGGCTGAAATTAGTCAAAAACACTGGCGTAGGAGCCGGTCTTGCATTACGAAGAGTGCATGATGACCTACTGTTATTAACGATCTAATGGATCGTTATACAATTTTGTAAATGTCTAATCAATAAATCAAATGCCGTTAACTGAATCAAACCACATTATCAGGGTTTCTGTAGACATCATAATGTCAAATTAAAGACTTTTTAAGACCTTTTTAAGACCATTAAGTATTCAATTTAAGGCCTATATCACAAAATTGAAAACACGCATACACATAAAGGGCTCTATTTTGACGGTCCATGCGCAGAGCGCAAAACGCAGTGCACAAACGCTTTCAGGGCGTGTCAGAACGCATTTTTGCTAATTTACGGACGGGAAAATCCGCTTTGCGCCAAGGCGCATGGTCTAAAAGGGTTGAGTTTATTTTCTTAATGAGTTATAGGTGTGTTTTGAGAATAAACCCATTAGAGTCCCATCTCCCATTCCCTTTAAGAGCCAGCAGCATTGCGCCATAAGCGCATTTGCTATTTACAGGACGCAAAGTAAGTCTAAGTGGAAAAACTGAGCATTTCACTAGCAAACAGTTCACAGTTTTTTTAACAGAAAACAGTTAAACAGAGCATCTACTGTGTGAGAATGAGAGATAATGGATCACTTTCACTTTCGCTCTTGGATAGGGAAACATTTATGCACAGACATCAATTAGTCTATAAATAATTAATTGCGTTTGTTAAGTGCAGATATTCTTTTCAAAACTATTTCTAAATTCAGTTCTAATTTCCAGCAAACGAATAAATGAACAATATTAACAAACTGTTTTTAAAAACCTGAGTTATATCCTAAAACACATGCTGTGCCCCTTATGGTCTAAAACCTGACAGGTGGTCAAATCTAAGCTTGTTTTTAATAAAACAAATATAAACATGGATATAATAAATAATACTGCTAATAATAATAACATTATACAAAAGCAAAATGTTATGAATGAACTGAAAAAGCCTCCCGAGATGAAGAAGACATAAAAGCAGTGATTTTTCATATTTATGTAGGCTAGAAAATAGTATGTTTTGTAATATTTTAATCCTTTATATTTATGTCCTATATCTATTCTTATTATATCCTATATATATATCCTTAATATAAAATTTTTTTCATATGTAAAGATATTTGCCTATTGCTCTCTTGTGCGTATTAAGCAGTGCGTAAGCGAGGCGCAACTCTGTTTAGACCGGGTTTGTTTTGGTCTAATGAAAAATCAATTTTAGTTTCTCAAAATAGCGACGCGCCAGCAGTGCGCCTCAGAACGCCTTCCTTTTTAGACCAGAACGCCTATGGGCGCACATCTGAGCGCAAATGCATTTGCTATTTAAACAGCGTAGCGCAATGCCTCAAAACGACTCTTGTGCCAAGCTGAAACTACCAAAAGACTACTGCGCCACGCCTTGCGCCACACTGCGCCGGGTGTATGATAGGGCCCAAAGAGAAAAAGCTAAATCACAAAATTTGTGGTAAAATAAATGTATTCAAATTAAACAGTTTTATAAACAGGTTAGATGCACCATTGAACTACAGGAAAAACAACCAAACAAACATCTTAAGGCTGATTTATACTTTTACAACAATGCATTAATATGATCTATCAGCAAAACATGAAGAATAACAGCAGAACATGTGTAGACTTTCTTCTGAGATTCATTCCTTATTTTGGTGACAAACTTCCTTATATAAGTTTGGGCAGACGGAGATGGCAGATGACTAAATGAAATTTTTCTTTGTTCTATAAAAGTATTATAACCATGTCTGTGTTTTTGTTTTAGTTTGGTTTATTCATGTCCAATGTTGGGTGTAAGGCGTTCCACAGTAACACGTTACTGTATTCTAATCACATTTTTGGGGACTGCATTTGTAATTTGATTACAGTTACTAAAGTCAATATACATTACAAATTTAGTTTTTGGAAGTAAAAAAATTGCTTTGTTTGAATCACATTTTCCACTGTAATGTCAGTTAATAAGCATGCGCTTTTAAACTGCTGGAGCACGAGCTGAAACGGTTGCTCTACAGAGGTTCCAGGTCTTCAACTGGAAATACAGACATTATTTTGATTTTATTGAGTGTAAAAGCAAAATTATTGCTTTGAATTGCAGTCTATGTCTGGTCTCTAAAGAACGATTGACTGCTTTCAACTCGACCAGCAACTTGTTCAAGCACTTGAATAGAAAGCATTCTTTGATACTCGTCACTAAGGAGGACACTGGCATCCAAAAACATGACGGGCCAACTCAGCCTAAACAGGCTAAATAGATTTTTTTTTTGTGCAGGATCAGGAGTAAAGGTTTCTTCTGAATTTGAAGAGAAGCGTAGCTGCTTATGGGGCCGTTCATGTATCGATTTTTTTTGCTTGCACTTGGATTTCCCAGGCGCACACATGAAATGTAATCAGATTACAATTTTCAGTAATTTTTAACATATTACTTTTTTAAAGTAACTTACCCAACACTGTTCATGTCATATCCCTTCAAATTAGTTCTCCTGCATTCTTTATTAGTTGTCCTGGTTATTAATAGTCTGCTTCATCAGCTTGTTTTGTTAATTGTTTTTTTGTGTATTTATCCCCGGTTTTGTTAGCCCTTCCTTGTCTTGAAACTTGTTTTTTGTTTTTTACATTTTTCACTATTTTGTCATTCCTGATTTTCTGCACTTCACTATAAACCCACTGGACTGCATTTGGAGCTACTTTTCATTATTTTCTATCACAGACGTAACAAGTATACACAGATAAAGAATTGTAAACTATGTTTTTTTCTTTTATTTTCATGGCCAAAATGACAAAAAAGCTTGAAATTTTTTTGTTTGTTTGTTTGTTTTACTGCCATTATAAAAAAAGTGAGAATAAGCATACCTGTATGTTTGTCAACATCATGGATTGAAGCATTTATGTAGTGAGTTTTGTATACTTTTAATAATCCTGTGTTTAAGTCAAATTAATAACGTTTCACTGTCACAAAGTTATCCATATAATAACAGATGGATGTGCAGGCAGTAAATCACAGATTCATGATTTTCTTAAATTTAAGCAATTTTTTTAAGAAAACCTTTATTTAATTTATGTCTGTAATTAAATGTATGCCTATTTAAAAAAAAAAGAAAAGAAAAATTGCATCAGAAATGTTATCACACTTTCTGAAATGAACAAGAACCAAGGTGATTTAATTGCATCCCAAAACATCACCATGAATACTTCACAACTGTATAAGTGACAATTGCACATTGTTCTAA